TTTGTGGATAAAGAGAGGTCATCTGGTTTCCTAATAACTAATTAAAATACCTGTCAGGTAAACTGCATCTCTACTTAAAATCTTTGCATATTTTGTACGCGATGATCTGTAATCACGCAAGTGTGTGGGCAGAGTGACCTGGGTAGTGTTCACAGTTTATACTCATTTATATATGATACAACAAATGCTACTCGATATAAAAAAAACAGTGCAAATGTATGTAAACCCGCGATATAGCAGCACATGAGAAATATTGTTCATTCATCAATGACAATTAATGATATTAGAGATCAAAGTAGTATCTTAGTACAGTTGAGTCCACTTAATAGTTCTGTATACACATTCAGGAGAAGGAATAAATACGATACATATGTGAACGGTTTAAATTTTGTATTTGAAGACGTTTAGTTCTAATCTACTTACCTATTTCACCTCAGCGGTTACGAAATAATTTCTAGAAATCGCGTGAAGGGATGCTTTTCGTCACGTCGAACGACGTATGTGAGTGAGAGAAATGTCGTTTAAAAGACGGTGCTCGTCGCGCCGTATCCTGTTCGATATGGGACTCTTAGAGACGTACACAATGTGTGTAGAATGCACTGCTTGCGTGAAATTCGAAGACGCAATGCGTGCCGACCACCGCCTTTTAAATCGACCACTGAGTTCGGTTGTGTAGTCGTTAGGCGTCTAAAATATAGTAACGTCTTCCAAATCTCAAAAGGATAATCTTCGTTAATGGAAGGCTACATATCAAAACATATCGATGATATGAATAGTTTTCGTGTCGCCCAGTTACGTTACAGATGAACTTTGTCATTAGAGGGCACGATTTCGTACTGGAACCAAGGCGTATTGATACACTTAATATATCCTTGCAGATTTGTGACAAATACTAATCCAGTTTCCGCTGACAGTATAGTTTCGAGCTTTTTTCCTTCATAGGTTCTAACAATATTAGTGGAGCATTGTATCTGAGGGCATCATTTGAACGTAGTACATTTAATTGAAACACCTGAAACTTTGAAATACTGAATAATGTGAAGTGGAAAATATGACCACTGTCATTTAACTATACAGACCAACCATGTTTCTGTATACGTTTCTAGCAACAACAAAAAACACGCGAATTCGATAATGCTGTGATATCAACAAAATGATTGTGTTTTAACTTTTATAGTCTAAAGGCACATGAAATAATAAACCTCGGAAAAGTACAATTAAAATATGCTGCCACTCTATACATTAAATGGTTTCGGCCGAACCTCAATTTCGGGTTTATAGCAAGAGCATTCATTGTTTCCGCGCGGTATTAGTTTGTTAACGTCGACCTCATTCAAACAATAATTTATTTGCTTGGACCAAAATAAAGACACTCTCAGGACAATGTCATTGTCAACACTAATACACCTCACCAATAAACCGCGCTCTCTAGTGACGGAGTGCCTATGTGGTATAAATGATTAACACGTACTAGATCATTTACCGATGCTTCTGTAGCGGGAGGGTCGTCACTTGCGCACGCGCGGGAATTGAGTCCCAAGCGACGATAACAGCACGCGCTAAAAACGCAAAGGCTCATGGGTAGACGCTTGTTTGTAAACAATGACACGCTATGGCCATCTGACGCATGCGTACGTGACGACTCCCCAGCTTTAATATCGCAAAATGCGACATTACCCCCCCCCCTCCCGACTGGTAAAAGAAACTCCATGTGGCCATTTTTTAAAAGTGCATCGAAATATTTAAAGATCATGATTTGCTAAATAGCGTTAATGAAACATCTTTTTTTTGTAACCGTGCGTAAACCAATGCGTAAACACCAGAGTCACGTGGTCACATCCGCTCTGTCATTTTTGACTTGATTCGCACATGCTAATGCAGACTCAAGTAAATTCCCCAAATAAGCGTTGTTTTAATACATGGAATTGCTTATTGAGAGGGTGTTTACCGGACACTGAAATCCAATGTATTGTTATTATTTTCAATAGTGTACACTGTTGACGACAAACGACTGGGTCGTATATATGAAGTAAAGTTTGAATATTTATTAGAATCGAATTATTGTGACCTTAACGAATATATGTTAATAGAAAATGAGTTGAAATAACTTATATTAAAAAGTAATAGAAATAAAGTAAAGTAAACTACACTAAATTGACCACAATCATGAGATGAACAGACAAATTTCCTCGTAATGTTTTTCCGATATTTTATTGATATGCTGATGTGTCACAATTGTTTACTTCATATAGTTGAAATAGGTCACGCTTTGCATAAAATATCATTGTTAATTGTTTTGTTGAAACAGAAATGTGTGGAAATATTATAACATTATTCTAATATGAACATGACAACTATGTAGCATGTGCTACGAATCAGTGGGTCGTATAGACATAGAGACATATAGACATAGAGACTTCGACTCACTTAGCATATCATTATCTCTTACACTGGCAAGGCACTGTAACTCTAACCAAAAATGCGCACAATAGGGGTTTAATTAATCACATATTATAGTTATTTCATACCTACTACAATGATACAGGCCGCCCACTACACCAACCCGTCTACGGTCCGATTGCCAACTTTTAATACATTTTAGAGCATACAATTGTATAGCGAAGAGGCAATACGTGATCAGTCAAGTTCAATTTGCTAGCCGCTGTCATGACCTCGCGATTAGCGGGTATTTCTCATGGGAAAGCCTTGCAAAGTTACACTACATGACACAGACAGTATATTTATAAACATAATTGTTATGTGTTCATCATACACCGGGATATGCAAATTGTTGGCAATAATATTGGAGTAAATAGCGTGGTTATGTATTTCCCACGTTTTCTCCGTAAACTAAAAGCGACTATAATGGTAACTGTTACAATCGTTGTTCTGAGTAACTATTCAAAGTATTCTATATACCATACACCGGGTTTCACGAAGGCGTGGACTCGGTTCATACTCAGAAATGTTCATACATTTCAAATGGCGATTGAAAACAACTTGCCTATAATCCCAGGCCACGTTCATAAGGATTATTACCGTCCGTACCCTTGAGGTTTACCCTCCCCTTTGACACTGGCTCGCTTTTATTTTATGTGCAAAATGACAATGACTCTACTTGTATTTCAAACTTTTAATGTTATTTCTGCAAACGAATCACTGTTATTGATGTGATCTGTCCATTTTCAGCGATTATATACCATTGGCTGTTCTTACGTGGTCGAAGTACGCACCAAGTAACGACTTCCGTCGAAGTTCGGTGGACATACACACGGAAGTAAATACGTGGTCGCAGTATGCACCAGGTAACGACTTCCGTCGAATTCAAACGACGTAAAGACGGAAGTAAAGTTGGCATACGAAAGGAACATTACCTGTCTGTAAAAAACGCACGTCATAGTCTAATTATAGCAGGTATTTGTCACAGTCCCTCAACAACTGCGGTATAGGTAACTTGCGTCACATGACCACATTGTGTCGATGGACTGCATATGCGCATGTCAGTTGGCGTAGTGACCTCTCCTATAAATAGTCCTCGTCTAAGCTTGCTACCGCTTTAGTTCGTACAGGTGTCCTGCAGGTTAAAGCTAACACATTGTCGTGCGTACACCGTTGCCTATAATTCCGTAAACAATGCGACTTTGCAGTATATGCAAACTTTTAAGTGCGTTTCTCCTCAGCCATTGCATCAGCGGCATTTCTGCCAACTGGCAGTACGAGTGCGCCAGTAATACAGATTGTACGACAGAGGTAAGTGTGTAACTTATAACACAGCATATCGGGGCGGGTGGAATTCTTAAGTACTTATGGGTTATATTAGTTTGAACATATATTTCCCAGGCAGAATATTTTTTCAGGAGTGTATGATTCTACTAATCGTAACACATTGTCTAATACCGGGGCTTACTCGGCACATCGAACAGGAAGTTCAATGAGTGGTTTTGTCAACTGGGAATTTCCGAAAATAGAAAAACTTCCTAAAGTGCTTCCTTATTTATGTCACTGATTAGTTTATTGAGTTAACAATGTGTTATTTTGCTGTCTCGGTTAATTCAACAAAACACGTCAATACAAAACGACTTACAAGATATAAATCAAGGCTGTATGTCATAATTGCATACAAATTTGATCTAAACGTCTAAAATAGCTGAGTACGTGTGGATGTTCATGGTTTGTCTATCACAATAACCGTATTTTCCTTGTTTATAAACTATTCAGAGACAGTACAAAATAAAACAAGTTGAAGCAATGAAAAGTTCATTGTAGAATACAAACGCGTTCAAAAAGTGTTAATCTAAATAAGTTCGTATCTTACAAAAAATATTCGGCAGAAATAATTTTCTTAATAATGACACGTAACAATGTATACTTGGAATCTGTTTTATTTCTAAAGAGCCGCTAGTCCCGCGCTGCGTCATGTTCGCTATAGCACCCGGCATATCGATGTATACAGCGCATTGTTCTGTTGTGAACACTGGCGTTGTGTTTGGGGATCAGGGAACTTCGTCTCGCTTAGTTGATGTCACTTACACGTGGAGATACCGGATTCGACCCAAATGAACACACATAAGTTCATTAACAGATAAGTCCAGCTTTATTCACACACGCAGTCAGCCGAGGTAACTTCTCGCTGTGCCGTTCTCTCGTCCCCTCCCTCTTACCAAAGTTTACAAACTCTATATTAAAAGTAAAATCTGTTAAGGCGTGGCAGAGTAACCATGCGGCAGTCAATCGCTGCAGTCGTTGGCACGATCACGTGATTACCAGGGATGTGTCTCACGGTTAAAGCCTTGCGAAGTCGCCACTACTAAATACAATAAGTAAACAATCTATTTATCAAATTCCTGTAATCTATGTTTATAATCTCCACCCTAAACATGCAAGTTGGTGATTCTAAACAATAGTCTAACGGCGTATGAACCGAATGTGCGAACGTGAAGTCGCTATCACTAACTTCGAACACGCGCCGCGCGATGACCACCGCCCTTGATAGACGTACGATGCCGCCATTTTACGTTTCTTCTCGCGTCACTACTGACACAAATGTGACATTCTGCCATTAGGTTTGAGAGAAGGTGGATTTGTTTTGAAAAATAAGAATATTAATGTGTTTTTTTTATCTTGTAATAAACTTTATTTGTTGTTATAATATCCAGTGATATGAAATACAATATACACATTCATTGCGTTTTTCAGATTCCAGGTCGAAGTCTTCCATGTAGTATTTACACTCAGCGTGCTGGTGGTAAGTACGAGATATGAACTTGAATATCGATCTGTTTGTTTGATCTACATTGTCAATAACGTACGTAGATCACCAAAACCTGGTCAAAATAACAGCTATCTGACCCACTTATTGCTGCGCTACATACTGTTAGGAGCATGCATGTTACAATATCGTCATAGATATTGTTATGAATATAAGAAAAAGTGTTTAGTTGCTTATTTATGACTATGACCATGAGCTTTTTTCAATTTAATTATGGTCTTATCATACATACTTTTGTAAGCTGAGCTTGCTGTATTTGGCACAGCTAGATAATTTAACACATATTTAATTATTAATCTAAACGTTCTGATCTATATGTATGCATGAGTGATATATATATAAAATTGATTGTTGACAAAAGTCAGCCTGATAACGTTTTCAAACAAATCGCCACACTTTCTCTAATGAAAAACTCCAACAAGTTTTTTTCAGTTTGGTCGCTATCAGGATTACGTAATCTCTTTAACAGTACAATCTCGTTAACATTTAGATACTGGACTATGTTCGAATTTACCGGTATTCTCGAGAGAGTACGAAACTCCGCCCCCTGATCTGAAACTTGAAGATGTTACAATTTCAATGACAATTGATACGTACACCGGCTACGGAGATTTTCCCGGTCTCAACGTTTCAGTTGCTCTACCACTGGCATTACGTGAGTATTCTTATCAATACAACGATTTGTTAAATGACAATTTACAGGTTTTTAGTGCGTGCGATGTTATATTTGGTCATGTAGCACTAGATCATTTCAGCCATTATTTCACAACAAGCTATGCGAATCATGAATTATTGGGTGACGTACTCGAACCAAAATACCACGTGACATTGAGCCCCACAAACTGAAAATATATAGAAAATTAACGTCATTGATGTTTTATTAGCGGGGGACGAATATATGGAAGGTGTGCAAATCATTCTTCGTGGCATGACAGACAACGAAATATTATATTACACCTACTACAACCGAGAAATATGCCGAGTATTGAATTTTCAAGAAGCAGATATGGAGCGTCATGACGGGGTAAGCAATTACTGATGACTGACGTTTCTGATTTTGTCGCCATTTCCCACTTTGAGAAATCCATGACAAATTGTCTTTATTAATGTATATCTCACCTTTGTCAGGATCCGGAGAGAGTACACATCTACTATGATTGCTTGAAACCATTATCTCCCGGTAGCCGTTATGAAATCCAAGTTAATCTTGTGCCGTATTCCATACACGGACGTCCGGTTTCTTTTGTGAAAACTGAATTCACCTTACCATGTAAGTCAAATCAATTAATTTGATAGATGTAACAACGTGAGAATAACTAAGACTGATTGTGTGTTTGATCGATTGATTGATCGTTCGATTGATTGATTGAAGCAAATAAGAAAAAAAAAGGAAAAAGAATGACTGACTGACAGACAGACAGACAGACTGACTGACTGACTGACTGACTGACTGACTGACTAACAGACTGACTGTATTCTTTAACTTTATTTTATTTTGTTTGTTTTCTCCTTTTCACACACGCAGCTTGTGAGGAGTACCCACGATTCCACGAGTGTTATGCTAACTCTATTAAACGTGAGTATCCCTATTATCAAATTCAATACATCATGCAATATACTTTAGCAAAAAGTATAAAATAAATTATCCACGAGAACCGCCACGTCGAGCTTGCGTATAATAGAGGTTGCCCTGATATAGAAGACTAATTGATATATTTTGTTGATTATAGACAGCGCTGCTATGTGGGGACCGTATGTGTTCGATGTCTATGCAACAGGGAGATATAAAAATGACATAGGAGTAGTTATTGACCTGCCACCCACTGAATATGAATTGGACGCATTTCGTCTTCTTTTATATCGAAAGTATCATGACAAGTGGATATTTATCGAATATAACAATATTATCCAGGTAAGACGGAGAATAAATAATATTATTAAACTCATTATCAAGGTAAATAATTATTTTAAATTTATAACTATAATACAAATATAATATGTTCTCTCTTAAGAAACATGAGATTTTATATATTCAAGAGGAAGTACCGTCTGCAACTGGAGAATTATTGACGCTCTTCAACAAGACTGTATTCAGAGACTTACTAGCTGGAGAATATATTTTAAAGGTATAAACATTTGCCATTTTATGAACCTCGTACCACACACAGTGTTGTTAACTATTTTCTTGGTCGTGTACCTATTAGGTAAACCCACAGTTGTATCTCTTTGCAAATTCACCATGGAGGGGGTTCGACTATTACGTGTGTTATTTCATCGTGATGTTCGCTACCTGCAACCCATGAAGAATGCACCTTCCTATATGATGTAATGGAAAAACATTACCACAATTGAGAATCGCGAAATTGAATGTGAATTGTTTGAAATATTTCCACAATGAATGTAGGTTTCGTATCAGTAATAATATGTACTTGCAATTTGTTTATCCCGTGCGATTAACTGTACTTATTTTATTTAACCTTCGAGTTAAAGTGTTGCACAAGTAATTATTCTGTTGTTGTTGGTTTTTTTGCGGTGATTATCAATAATATATTTTGCTTTGTTTGTTTAAGCTGAGACCAGTGCCGAGCAATGTAGAGGCCTGTGGATTCGCGAACACCAATGATTGCAAAGTGACTGTATCCTCGCCAATCAACGTCACGGGTAAGCATAATATCAGCGTGACGTCACGCATACATCCGCGCATGGTGGATTATGGGAGAAATAAATGACTGCCCTTCAACATCAGTTGACAGTTCGAGCCTGATTCAAAATTTGTACTACTGAGCACACTACTGCGTAAATGTGCAATTTATTATGTGCGATTAATTCAAATTGTGCATTACATAGCATTATGACGTAGAATCTCGCAATATGAAAAAATATCACACAGAAATAACCCCACTGTTTTTTTTTTGAAATGTTTCCAAAATATTGAGTTGGAATTAATATAAATAGTAATATAAGACTTTTTAATCCAATGTCACCGAGAACAAAAATTGAGATATTTATAAATTACTCCACCTCATAATTTCTGCCATTTCTTAAATTAAATGTCTCTATTTTTTCATTGATACCTATGCGCTACTTTGATTTAATAGTACGTACCAGTAATTAAACGCATACTCTGTTTGTACATCGATATACGGAATGTGATATACTAAGCTAATGATGATGCTAAACGTTAAAAATAATGTACGACGAGGTTTATTACTGTTTAACTGATGGTTAAATAACATCAGAGCCCGCATGATCACATTCACTGGCTCGTCAAGTTCTAATTATGTTTTCATTACCTTGCAGATGTGACTAAGAACAGCGTGGAGTCTGGTGTGACTGTGGTACAAGAGGCCGAGAACAGCCCTAAACAGCATGTTACAGATCTGCCGATCAAAACGAGGAAAAGAAACAAAAACAGATCGGAAAGAAAGGGAAAAAATCGTAACGGTCGTAAAAATCGTAAAGGTCGCGGTAAAGACCGCGATGGTCGTAAAGGTCGTAGAGGTCAACGTAAAAAAAATGCCTAGGATAGTTCGTAATTTTACGACCCCAACACCGTGACGACACAATCACGATTGTTGTATCCGTATTATAGTAAGGATTAACACTGCATTTGTCTGCACATTTTGACGATTCAGTTTGGGACACTTGTTTCTAAATTACATATTTTACATGCCAACTGTTGTTGACGTGATAAGTGAATATGTATGTCGGCTATTAGTTGATTCATCACAATAAACACATTTATTTTGATTAACATCTGCATTTTGAGAACATGTCTTTTTCCCACTTAACAGCAATCTAAACACAAATAATCTAAATGGTAGAAAATGCCCGGATGTCCGCCCCCCAGGATGGATACTCTGAAGGAGTTCATATATTTTATACGGGATATGTTGGGGGAAAACTCCATCATCGTATTATTTGCTGTGCACATCCCATCTAACTCAAGTGAAGCTAATGCAAGTATGTTCCAAAACTAAATTGTCTGGTCTTCTCAATTTAACTCGAATTATTCAACGTAAATCTGCAGACCAAATTTGCAATAGGAATGGCAAGACATTTCGTGATTTGTGCGAATTAAGTATATTGTTATTGACAGACTCTGCAGCAAAGATCGGACAAGGGAAGTAGTAATAAATTATGCTTTTGTAACTACTATTGAAAACATTAGTATTTTTGATTATCGATTACCTTCTTATCAATCAGTGTAATTTTCCCGATATTACGGATTTCGCTGTTGACTCTCGAGTGATGTTACTGAACAAAATATGTTTGGTAACTCAGACGATATAATGGAAGCACCCGCCATGTTATATAACATACTATGTCGAATAATGCACTAAACACTACTTTTTATTAATACAGAGAATCCACACAAGTGTTGAGATAGATCGATAACTTTATTATTTTTTTCACACTTCAAAAACTGGCCAAGCTGTAGAAGGTCTCTTGAGTATGAGTATGACTGCTGCAGATTGCAGCAAACGTGTACGTAAAAGTATTCATAAACTTAGTAGAAATATGACAGATAAACCATGGCTTGAAAAACAGTACAAAGTGATGTGACAATAAAATGAAATAGACTTAGAAATGATAGGAATGTTAATGAACTACAAGAATTAAAGTGTTGTAAAACGGAAAACAGAGATCTGATTAAATAATATAAAAAGAATGAGAATGTGTAAACTAGGAGAACTAGAAATAGCTGCTAAGGACAAACAAACTCTAAAATGGCCTGGTTACGTACGCATAACAGATCGTGCAAACGGTCTAGTGAAATAAACAACATGTCATCTTTGTATTTTGATACTTTGTTAAATACGGCATCCGGATAGGATAGTCAGACATCTACAAGGAAATGAAGGATATCGATAGTGTGAACAACTATACTGATTTAGACACTTCGAATATAATTAGAATGTAGATGCAAATTATTTCATTGTTGATGAGCAAGCAATTTGAAGCATCCAGTTTTTAGCTCTGAAAACATATATATATTCTGAACACAACAATGTGTAAGTATTTAGCTCACCGAAATAGCAGGCTTTAATGTAGAATTCACGAGTTAGAGAAATCAATTGACCACATCGATCACCACTGCATCTTTCATATTATATCCAGTTGTGGACAAAATAGAAAATTCTATAAAGTATTTTTTCAATGTGTTGCAACGTCAAAGAACGTGTTCATTCAACAATGGGCATTGCAGGTTTGTTTGAATGTAATTTTCAGGCAGAGTTTGGGCATAATCCATATATATAGAAAGATAATACTGGTTGAAGATTTTGAATATGAAAACTAAAAGACTAATCATACAACGTAAATGGTAGACACGAAACAGTACACTTTCTGTGCCAGGAATTTCAAGCAATTGCTACAAATTTATGATTTTGGGGAGTGTTGGGAAACGTTGTACTGATATTAATAAACCTGGTCGGGTAACTTGCATAATTCGGGTAAACTTGAAATGTCATGCTTCATTTAAAAAGAACTTGCACAATCCTGTGTTCAGACAGGTTCTCACTAAATTTAGAATATCGGCGGGGAATTTTAATATCGAGCTCCACTGCTCGCTGAGAAAACATACCCGGACTAAATCGTTCATGAACAACCCTGTGATGGGAAATTTACCATCTTCGCTTTGATACCCAATGAAGATGTCTCGCTGGAATCACTGTCGGCATAATATGTGAAATCATCAATTCGTTGATAAATATCGACGTCGTGGTCGCAACAAACCGTTTGTTGGTCAATGTTAGCGTGGTTAATGACGAACGAACCGGGACTAGGGTGCGAATATGTACTATGGGGAGCAGTTATCGGCATCGCTATATCATCAACACTCGTACGCAAGCTGATTGGGTCTTCTGAGGACTTTGCGATTTTACCAGCAACTGCATCATCGGAAAGATGCACACACAAATGATTCTTAGCATTCATCAACTTAATTCCCAGATCCCCTTTCTCCAGCCTTTGTTTCAGACTTAAGACTTCTCGTTTGTAGGTGGTTGGAGATCTTTCGCTCAGATCGTATAGTTTGAGATAAAGCGATTCCACATCTTCCGGTACGCGGTAACAGGACCCTAACATTTTGATTGGATCTGGTATGATCGTTCCGACGGAGTACGGCAGAGTCACGTAAATGTAGTTTCCTCGTCGCGATTTACCGTCGTCGTGTGAAATGTCGGCACACATCAAATTGATCGCGATAGACAACATAGTATTACTGACGTTGGTGGCGCTGCATAAACCGATTGCATCGAATTCAGCGTCCGCAAGTTGACCCCTCCAAATCCGTTCCACACCCTCAGACATCACGAAGATAATTTTAGAGGCTTTCTGGACTTGGTCGCATACCCATTGTACCGGCCCGAGTCTGGCAATTTCCGGATAGTGCCATTCCGGGTATATCACGCTACACGCACACTCATCCTGCAAGAATCTGGCCAGAAGTCCCACAACTATCATATGGTTCTCGTTATCATTCGAGCAAAGAAGTAAAATTCGCGGTTGACCAGTTGGAGTACACCGAATCAAGGTACCTAATCATGTAAACAAAAATTAAAATCAACATTAAATTTCATTGCAATTGTTGACCACGGTCCAGTTATCGTTTAAATTTAGATGTTTATTTTCTATATTTTAGTTTTCAAAATATACAAGAAAGACTAATATAATATTAAATGACTATACATAATACAGTGACATACCACATATGTGCGACAGTTTATCATATCTATCGGAACTACTATCTGGGTTCAAACCCGGGACTATCTGTTGATTTTCATTTTGGCTTTTCTGTCCAATGTTTTTCTTTCTATACATCAGTATAAACATCGCTATCGCAAATGCGATTGCTACAAGGGTTCCTAACGTCGCAGCTAACGCTAATTCCACCGAAGATTCTGAAATTGAACATAACAACAACAACAAACCATGAGTGACCTTGGCTTAGCTTATTTATATTTATATTTATTGCTTACTCTTTTCAAATTAACGATTAACAGCTTTTAATCAATCAACGATCAACAGCTTAAATAGTATTACGAATGAAACCAAATAAAATGGTTCTACCTGCAGTGCGTGTACGTGTGCAAGAACAGAGTACACAGAAATAGTCCCCATTTTTGAAAGCATGACAACATCAATGTTTCTGATACATTAACAGAGGCGGTGGCACGAAATTTTGCGGGGGGGGGGTCTGCTCACCTTCCCTTGTGCCTCGTAGGCACAAATGGTCGCGCATTTGTTCGGGCGACCCCCCTCACGGTGCCGCCGCCACTGATTGAGCATGAAAGACCGACCAAATTTGGACGAGATAAAGATGCTTTGATATTTGCAAAATTATGATTAAATTAAAAATAACATAATAACAATGCCGTGTGTAGACAGTGTCGGCAAGAATGAAAACGTTTCCCCTAAGGTATTGAGGTAGATATGGCGGCGTTTTTAAAGAATAAAGACATCACCTTACCGGATACACATTGACCGTTCTTTAGAATGAAACCACTGTCACAAACACAGTTACGACCGTTGCCATCGCCGGTGAGTTCACAATGCATTTTGGAGCCACAGCTAGCATTGTAACAAGAGATGTCTGTAAATGCAAATAAGATTAACACGTGATAACCTATCACAATGTGAGTGGAAATTGAGAGGCACCAATTCTGTGACTTCACATTCACATTGTTGTAAGAAAAAACAGGCATTTTGGTGGCGAAACAATAAAAACAATATTCACGCTTTGAACCGCGCCCCGTTTACGACCGTTTACGCCATGGAAGCACTTATCGACTGAGGGCGCTACTTATTGTAACGATGTGAAAGCAGGCGTACAATGTTTGGCGTGTATGTGGTAAATTTTCAATGAAATTTCAAAAACTGTTCAACATTTGCATGCTGTTCATGGGCGTGTATTAATTAGAATACCGACAGCAATTATAATCTCTAGTCATATTATCAAAAAAACTGTATCCCTCCAATTCCAATATTTCTGGCATGCTGTCTCATAACATTAATACCGCCAAAATACATACATAACATATTAAGTTACTTTGATCATATACAAAATATCGCCTCACCGTTTGTGCATTTATCGTTCATTAAAGTGAAACCATCGTCACATAAACAGTTATAACTGGCGCCATTGTCAGTAAGTTCACAGTGCATATTTGAATCACAAATAACACCGAGACAAGGGTCGTCTGTAAATGAAAATACCGATACTACATTAATAGGTTCATATCAATATTAATATACCAACTATGTTTACGCGTGGATACGAAAACAAAATCTGTAATCAGAATGGTGATAGATGGGTCAATATGATTAGTAAAATGTACATATATTTATTATAAGCAGTTATGTGAATATTTAAAGTAACATTTGCATATTAACAACAACAAACTCGAACAAATCCGAAAATAAAGCACTAGTCATGGTACAGTTACGTTATCAGTGACACCATGCCACATGACGTACACATTGTGGGCCAATAGGCACCGGTCGGCTAATGTGGGCCAACGGCCAATTGTGGACCAATGGGCACTGGTCAGCCATTTAGAATCAGATCGTCAGACCAATACATATGTATACTAGTATCTATGACATGATGTATAATGAATATATAAAATCTGAACATCGCTCAAAGCAGAGACATGGCTCTAAAACCGCATTTATTAAAACAAAGTTGCCACGTGCACCGTGACCAGTTCGATCTTAAAAACAAAAAGACGTGCATCAGGGACCCAGATGTTTAATGTATGTACCAAGTTTGAACGAAATCCATTCATAAATGACCGAGATCCGGTCCCGGAATGCGAAAAATGCTTAATATTTGATCATTTTTAGCACAAAAATAGCCACCATTCGGCCATTTTGAATCGGGTCGTTCAACCAATATATTTGTGTATCTATGAGATGATGTGTTATGAATATTTTAAATTTAAACACAATTAGTCAAGGGATGTCAGAGATACTGATGGTACTTCGGCCATTTTGAATCGGATCTGACAAACAAAGTGACATACAACAAGGTCCCATAATGTCCAATGTGAGTACCAAGTGTGAACAAAATCCATCTGCAAAATGCCAAGAAATGCTTGCTTATGTTTTTTTTTCAGTCCATTCGGCCATTTTGAATCAAATTGTGAACAAACTGATGTGCATATGCATAATATTATGTATGATGTATGTGTGAATTAGGAATGTAATCGGTACAGACTTGTCTAGATCCGGAAGCTCGCACGTACGCCGGCGGACGCACCCATGCACACCGCGGCAAAGAGGTCAACCCATAAGTCCCCGTTTTCGGACTGCGGTTCGAAAGGGAACTAACAAATATTTCTAAGTAATTGTATTACCAATTAGTATATTATGCCAGTGCTAAATTCCACTATGTCGGATTGTCTTGAATATGGAATAATGTTATTGCATAACAATAACGCAACCTAAAGGTCCATTAAAGTAATTTCAAATGTGAATCTCAGCAAATACATTGCCTCACCGTATGTACATGTATCGTTCATTAAAGTGAAGCCATTGTCACATACACAGTTATAACTGGCGCCATTGTCAGTAAGTGCACAGTGCATATTACGATCACAGATAGATTTTCGACAAGGATCGTCTGTAAAAAATACAATACTATACTTTATTTATAACACATTGGAAAAGTTATCAGTTACATCCGTTAATGTAATTTCGTTTTACATACCCGTAAATCAAAAATCACAATATATAACATAACATGTCGTTACACAAGTAAACTTTACCCATCTACAATAAAAACGTGGTGTTTGCGATGACCCGACTGGGGTGATTTGGTGGCGCCATTTTTCATTTCGCCCAAAACAGTACATTTTTTGAACGTGCGTGAAATTTCACTCTGATCAAATTTGATAATTTCCCTTTTAATAACTGGCCTTTAGTTAATAACCAACAACTTGGCTCAGCGAATGCTTAGTATAGGCGATATAAGACCAAATGTTAAACTGCCGTTTTGGGAACTACGCCGTATTTGGGGTTGTGTGTCATTTATAACGAATAAATTACAGATTTAAGGCTTAACATTGTAAAATTTTGGTGTATACAATGCATTACAACACTTACCTCTTATGACAAATGTATCTGAGTAACTATATTTACACGTTCCTACGTGTGTACAACTTCTGGGAGGGGATGGTTTAACCTGTTTAGAAAATGTAAAATAAAAAACATGTTTTAGATAAACATGTCACATATCAAAACCAACCACTCATCCAACAGATGCAAGTGCAACATCCTTATGTCTTAATATTGCGTGTTAAAATGATCTGGTTATATGCAACGGGTACAGATATATATTCTGAAAATCAATTAACAAACATAATATCTTACACAACGCACACATTACTGGTATCTGGTAAATAACGGAAATTATTTAGTTCATAAAATGTACAGAATGCTAAATCACGTGGCACTATCTCTCTGCTGTTTTCTTGGGCGTAAGTCGTGACAACGTTAGGTGCCAGTTTTCTCAAGTTCAATAAATGTCCATGACTCTTTCCCCTTAATATGTTTCACTATATCTATAATAATGATGCTAAGACGTCACGATTTGATATTCTGTCCTCATCTGTGTATATACGTTTCTAATATTCTATGAACATTTCGTGAAATTCAAACTGAATGTGCAATAAACAGCACAAACCTGAAGTTGGAGGGCGGTGGTCGTCGCGTCACGCATGCGCGGAATATGGGTCTCATATAAACAAAGATAATACGAGTAATAATTGAGCGGTTATAAGTATTAATTGGGTAATTACTTTTGGTGATTTGAAGGTATCGAATGAGTCGCCGGTCAAAACTCGTGATTTAATTAGAAAAGCGTGTTGGATTGCTGGAAAATCAATGTGTATCAACACAAATGTCGCACATGCGCGGCGCGACTACCACTGCCCTTTAATCGCAAGTTTAGTTTACCCCATCCCCTTTATGTTGCGAAATCTTGCAACTATCCTATATTTTCACTCTATATACAACTGTTTATCAACATTCGCGTTTTGTAGAAATTACAGATCATCCAGGTACATACCCCCATTTGGTAACTCCCAGGTTTAAGGTTGTATACTTCAAAATGCAACTTGAATGTGTCCACTTGGTCTCTCACATAATAAAACGTCGCATCCATATTATGGTAAACATCCGAGTCTTTATTAGACGTCTAATAACAAATGTCATATACATTTTGTAGAATCATAAAATGAAAGAAATTCCAAATGTTCCCGACTGGAAACAGTATATATCTTGTATATAAAAATTCGTTATAAACGAATAAACAACGAAATCGTAGAACGGGATAGAATGTTCAGTGTGCACAAAGTATAGGAAGTAGAAATTACAACATACTTACTATTGCAAAGATATAGGTGTTCTGTCGTGTTGCTTTTGTTGAATGTTCAATTTTGACATTATATGAAGTAAAACCAAACGTGTCATCAGCCATAATAAAACTACCAGTAATGTTATCGATACTACTGTGTACAGTAATAGTCGTTGTCCAATTACCCGGAGAGATGGATACTAAAACAATAACATGTGCGTGAGTTGATTAGGAAACACCGGAAATAATACGACTACTACAACAATGATGACGGTGATCCCTCACTATATATTAAAGCGGGAGGGTCGTCACCTGCGCACGCGCGGGAATTGAGTCCCAAACGACGATAACAACACACTTTAAAAACGCAAAGGCTCATGGATAGACGCTTGTTTGTAAACAAAGGCACGCTATGGCCTTTAGACGTACGCGCACGTGACGACTCCCCCGCTTTAACCCAATGCAATACAATAATTGATCGATATGCTATAAATATATATTTCTTTAAATTAGCTTAACATTTGAATATGTATCGGTAACCGTATCAGTAGCACTCTTGAGAACAGAAATGTCGTTGGATAGATGTCGAACGACAGGGAATAAGTATCATGCCCATTCTAACATGGCTGATTGATATGTAATGGGGACAGGAATGACATAATGAATTTTGATTATGTTTATTTCTTAGGGGTGTATGCATGATGTTCACTTTAAATTGTGGGAGATCGCCCCTGCGGTCTCTCTAAAACTGACAATGCTTTTTCCCATATTTTTTTATGATAAGGTGACCGATATATCGTCGGCAACATTACCTATTGTGCGAGTGAACGTCGAATCCATTGTACTACCCGACAGTAATGCACGTATTGCGACAGTGTACATATTACCATGTGAGAGATTATTGAAACAATCGAAGATAATCCTAGTCTAAAAATAAGGAAAAAAACGTGACAATAATATGTTATATCAATGACAATGACACTACACTACACTACACTACACTACACTACACTACACTACACTACACTACACTACACTACACTACACTATACTACACTACACTACACTATACTACACTATACTACACTATACTACACTACACTATACTACACTACACTACACTACACTACACTACACTACACTACACTACACTACACTACACTACACTACAATGCACTACACTACACTACAATGCACAGCACTGCACTGCACTACACTACACTGCACTACATTACACTACAATGCACTACACTACAATGCACTACACTACACTAATCTGTCACCGTGCCAAAGCGTTACTAGAAAACACCACCAGCAAAATCTCGTTACCTACATGTAGTAATACTACCTGACGATGGTCACATTGGGAAAAGTTGTAAATATAACATTCTGTGGTACTCTCTTCAAGTTTGTATATTCCAAGCATAAGTTCCTTGTTTTCGGTTAGCTCTAACATGACAAAGAAACATGTTATTTAGAAAATAATTGACTATGATTAGAGCAATATTATTTTCAGCACATTGGTCGGTGTCTGAAGTAGCCAGTTTACATCGTATGCGAATGATTTGCGGCTGGCAATAGTCAAGTGATCGGAAAACATTTAAAACATTTTGAGCAATGTCATTTTCATTAATTTATTCGTTAAACTGCTTGTTTACGTTGGCATCAGAGGAACTACTAGTTACTAAGCATGTTACTCCAAGAATATATACATTATCCGAAAGCGGTAGTGCATATGGCCATACCAATGTCTGTCTAAAGAAATGGTATGTTGTTTTGTAGATTTCAATACGTATTGTTGAAAATAATATTGTATTGAATGCGTACGTTGTCAAACAACCTATATCATCGAAATGCAGGTATTTAACAGGATTCAAATGTGTAAGTTATCAGCAAAACATTGTTAGTGGTGGCAGTACCTTCTAAATGTAATTCGGTTTAATTTAATTTAATTTAATTCAGTACCAAATTATATAGAATATATTTTCTTCCTGTGCATTTTTTATTTCAAATAGGTACCATCTTTCTATATTAGTGATCTATTAATTTATTCCTGTGGTTTTTGTATAAATAAATTTGTTTTGTTTTGTAAAGTAATTACTTATAAATGATTGTTACTTGGAAATCTCACTAGAAAATGTAACACATAGACACTTAGCCAATATATGTTATACTACAAATTTTTTGAATATGACATGTTTTCAAATTGTAATCAAATTTCTGAATATTTCAGTCTTGTTTATGATATTAGGGCCATAGGAAATATCACATTAAAATCGATACTATAATGCATACTAGATATACATCGATACATACCAGAGGATTTCAAGTTGAAATATATCTTGAATCCCGCGGGTTTGGTGTCGATAATATACACATCGGTCGGCATCGGTACAACACCAACCACAGACTCGGACGCAGGGGTGTTTATCTGACAATCAGCTACAACACGAGGGAACAAAATAATAATTATGACTGTGAGTCTCTCGTACATAATCTGCAAGACCCAATTCAATATGTCTAATCAGTCTTGCAAATCATTTCATGATTTAAATCGGTTGGAGAGACGTTAGTTAATATAAAATTACCAATAAATCTGGCACTATACGATTTATCATTTATATATGCACAGTCCCTCTCATAGGGATAGAGGGACTGTGATATATGTTAATATACATTATACGCAAACTGCCGTCGAAATCTCGTTAATGGCGAGAAGCCTGGGACTTGTTTTTGCCTCTCCAACAATGCTCCATATACGATTTATTATTCATATATGTTAATATAACTTAGACGCAAACTGCCATCGAAATCTCGTTAGTGGCGAGAGCCCCGAGACTTGTTTTTGCCTTTCTAACAACGCTCCATTATATATTCTTTCTCGTCATCACGTCGACTGTAACAGTTCCACATGCCATAGCTACATAGACCAGGGTAATAGTGGACGTGAACACGGGAGAAAATAGAAAAATAGAGAACTATATGAGGGGCAAAAACAATTTCCGTGGCTTTTTCATTTTCAACGAGACCTCGACGGCCATTATTATATAATAAAGTATATTGTTTGTACAGTACCACCTTTCCATTTATTCAAACACAGCGTGACAACTGAAATTTTTCAATTGATAGGGCTCAACTTACTCTTGGATTCACCCTTAACTACGCTGATACAGGCAGGGAACGACGTTTCATCACCAAGCTGTTGAGAAGGAATTATGAGTAAGAAAATATGTTCGCATTATTTGGCGATTAAAATGTATGTTATTGCACCCTGACAATATAATATATTCATATATACAGAACTCCTGATAAGACCACATTTCTTGGAGTTGAATCACCCCAATCAACAAACATAAAATATTTCTTTTACAATAACCAATTTATTTAGTATTTTCAATTACACTAATTTCAACATTTTGTATCTCAAATGACAAAACTGAGATTTGGTAATTACAAATTACCTGATACAAATATGTGAAACTGCTATGGTGATCAGTATAGTTCGCAATTATCAACGTGTGGACTCAATGATGTTTATAACGTGTATGCGAGTATTGCACATGGCTATCGTGCACCCCAAATGTCGGAAACTTTGATATTTTTAGTTATACATGTTTCCCTATTCAAAACACCATGTGATACTGTCGCTATTTTTTTCTTTCACTAATTACATAAAAACGTGTATTCACACTTACCCAACGCCGGAGTGCTGCGTATGAAAATAAGGGCATTTTCCAGAAATGTCTTCTCAGAACAGATTTAAAATGTCATGTTCTGTTATTGAAAACACTCAAAAATTTAAACTTTCTCTGGAAATTACAAAGTCTAAACTGAATCAGGAGTTGATAAAATCTCAAAACATGGTACTCGTCTAGTGAATGGCAATGTCTACATAGAGCACATGTATTACTAAGTGTGATTCAAATCGGTTAGAAGTGAACAATCTCCTTCTATACCGCCCTCAAGTGTTCATATGTTCCATGCTTTATAATAAACCCTTCAAATTCCATTCGACAAAAGCATCACAGTCCAATATTATCGATTGAAAGACGAAAATCTAATGACATTATGGTATTCCCATAGCATTGTGCCTGGTGGACATTTTGACTTGAGAGAATGATCAACACGTATATAACTAGATGTTTCCCATTGTGTAGTTACGGCGATCAAAGATTCACGTGATATTCGGGCCCTCACGTGTTAATATAATCATAAGGGGTTTTAATAAACGCATACACAATTCATTAATTAACTAGGAAACACCGTGTCGTAATGACCCGTTCTTTCATCATCACAGTTTCATTATCGCAGAAACCATCATACTCAAGTTAAACCAAGAAACAGTTCATAAACATGTAATACTGATCCCGTCTTCCAGCCTATTCTTCTCAGTACATAACCAATGTTCATATGGTAACTTTGTATTTAGATACACAATGACATTGCATTGATATATCTATATTAAAATAAAAGGGAAACAGCTCTAGGTTACGTTTGACATACAACTTATGGAGTGTGGTATATTATGTGGTGTTGGGACTGAATCAGTTGTATTTTGGGCGTTTCTGCGTGTCAGAGTGCAAACCCATAAGCTACTACCCGCAATAAATGGTTTAGTCATAAACAAATGTCGGGGAAAATGTTTTACGACAATTGCAATGCAATGAAAAACGGACATCGGATCGTATGACTCTAATAAGAATAAACTCGCGAACTGGAATTATTCTGAGCAAGAGAAACCATGCCATAGACACAGTCCATATACTAATATCGACATTCGTGTTGGTACATATTGGGCAACTATCACTGTGTAGACTGTTCCGTATTCAGAGTTACACATAGAAATCCACTTTAATGGATTCTCTTTGTATTTGTATAAATACAGCAAGTATACGGTAGTATCCATTACTTAGGTATCCAGTACATGTATAAACAATGTATTCTGAGAGAATCCA